ATGACTTTGACAAAAAATATTACGGCGTCGGCAAGTGATGGAGATTAATTTGGGACCCAATGCATGCACCGCCTATATATGTTAAAAGTTTGAAAAAACGGTCCAATTACATGATAGATTATGACATATTGGGTGACCGAATCATAAAACTATTTGACGAACCATTATTTACGCATGTTTTGATGAATTATAAGTTAAATTTTTTCTCATAAAGTGTGAAATGCATTATGCAATAAATGTTTTGATGAATTATAGGTTAAATTTTTTCTCATAAGGAATTCAATCCCAATTGACTCAAATATAGAAATTTTTCTATTTCGAATTTCCTTCTTCCACTCACTATTACCGCCTATATAAAGTAAACTAAACTTAGTGGCACATTAGAAACCATAATGATACCTCAACCAACACTAATAAATAAAAAAATTAAAAGGGCAATTTTTATATTTTTCATTAACCTCTTACGACCGTCACTTGATTTTGTTGGCGTGGCTGGGTAACGCGTAATTCGTAACATTTCACTCGCGAATTATTTTAATTTTTATCCTAAGATGCTAATATTACCACCTAATTGAAATTTATTTAATTTTGATACTTCACTGTTATTTCTTTGTGTATTGAGTTCAAGATTCGTGATTTATTTATTTATTTCAACATCACAATTGTCAAATATCCACCATTTACTCCTTATAGCTGACGCCGTTTAATTCAAAATAAACATTTTTTAAAATATGGTTCCATTTTCGCGAATTTGCATTTTAAGCACAAATTTTCAACTTGACAAATTATATCACTGCCTTTGCTTTTTTGGAAAAGTATATATAAAAATATAAAATTAATCATCTGAATTTGATGTGTTTGAAGAAGCGTTGACGTATACAACCCGTCCCAATATTTTTCATGTCACTTAGATTATTGCACATAATATCACAAGCTTACGTTTTGCAATTTAATCACAATATTTGATTTTTTAGCAAATTATATCACCAACAATAGAACTTAACTGTTGATTTAGAACAGTTTTTTAATTTTTGTATTATTATCTAAAGATTCTTAATTGCGAAATGTTTAGTATTGTGTTATCTATTTCATGAGAATTAAACTTAGGGAAATGTATTCGTTTGAGACTATTGCTGAGATTTCAAAAGAAAAAATAATATATAAATTATCTTACTCTAAATTTCACCATCAGACTTAAGATATCATAAGATTTTTCCTAAATTTAAAAATTTTAAAAAGTCTCAAATAATCAATAATCGTTATTCAATTTGTTTTGGCCAAAGGCCAATTGGTGATGAGCACGTGTCACTCGGAATTCTAAACAAGTTGACTTTTAGAATAGTGATTGCTGCAAGTCATGTTGATTGTTTGTCAAATCTTGGTATATAGTTGTTCTGATGATCAGATTCCACAGACCAGTCTTTTCTCATTTAATG